AGCCCGCCGGGCCTCCTGCCGCCCCCCCAGGCTCGGCGCAGGCACTGGACGGCAACGGCTCCGGGCTCGCCTCTCTCGCGGCCAGCTGCGGTTACGGCGGCGGCGGCGGCGGAGCCACCCAGCTGTGAGCCAGAGGCGCGAGAAGCTCGCCACGTGCTCGAGGGGAGCCAATGGGAAACGCCAAGCGGCGAGCCTCTCTCTCTCTCTTCTTTTCCTCCCCCTCCCCCGCCTTTCTTCCCTGCCTTCTCACGTGATCGGGGCAATTGCTTAAGTTTAGTTCGGAGCGATCTCCTGGAGGAGGAGGAATCGGGTTGTAGGGCGCGGAGAAGTGCCTGTCCGCGTTTCTGGCGCGGTTTTGGGTGTTTTGTGTTTGTTGCCACGCTAAGAAAGCAAGGAGTTAATTCAGGAGAACAAAGGGAGGAGTGGAAAGCTTTCGAATTGCAGAATGAAAACTCTGTGGTGGCGTGGAAATGAACGGAAAAAGCAACCATAGCACTACATTTTCCCCGACCTGGTATATATATTCCTGCTATGGTGTGGGCTGCAGATCCCATACAGTGTGGCAGTTTCACACTTCTGGAAGGCTGTGGAGGAGGCTGAAACAAGATGTTTAGGAGCAGTACACAGTTGGGAAAAAAGATACTTCTTGGGTTACAACTCCCGGAAGAATATTTGTATAAGAGGGGACTTGACACCAATTTTGCTGCTTATTATTTGATTCCTTTTCCTTACTAACCATAGTTGCTAATTAGTTACTTTACTTTTTGTTTAGGTTTATAGTGGTAGCTTGATCTCCAAGGGTGTTTCATCTGTTCCTCAAGTGATTAAGCAGATATGGATTATGAGGTCAGACTGGATAACAGGTTTCTTCCATTCCAATGTTTTTTTGTGATTTCCTTGGTGATCATATGCCATAATGATAGACTTGTATCCAGCAGTGTTAACAGCCAGAGCTTTGTTGACCTATTGGTTAAGACTGAGTTTTATTATATTGGTGTGTGTGAAGAGAGATTAGTGGGATAGGGATGCTATTGAATCTGAAGATACAGTGGCCATGTTGGTTTTGCTACTGCAAGAATGTACCCATTTTGTATTCATAGCAGCAGATACTAACAGGTGATCCTGAACCTTTTCAGTAGCAAATTTTTGCACCATCTAAACTATGGGTCACCGCTACAGTTGCACTACCCTAGTTACAGCAGAGTGGACCTCCATGTGGATTTTGCAGTAGCCAGCAGTGACTAATGATGCTGAGTTTATAGCATAATATATTTTAGTTCATGTTGGCTGGGCAAGTGTGGCACATCTGGATCTTCATTATGTGTCCTCGGCACCTGGGGGCACACATATTGCAGACAAGAAGAGAGAAGAAACTAGATGTAGCCAGAAGCCCAAGGCCTTATATATAAAAATGTAGTGTAAGATATTATCCTAAGTAAAAGCCTCGAACAACTGAAAGACTTTCATCAGCTAAACTGGGTAGAGCTGATAGAAAGTGTAATTCAGTAAAATCTGGCTATCCCTGGGGTTTCTAGACTCTGGCCTTGAAAGTTACTGTATTTTTCCGTGTATTAAAGGACACTTTTTCCTAAAACAAAGTAAAAATTGAGGGATTTTTTTAATACTCAGAAGTAAGGACATTTTGCAAAGAAAATGGAAGGGGAAAGCGATTTCTGTTTTCTCCCTACATTTTCATTGCAAAAAGCAGTTTCCCCCCTCCAGGTTTTGCAAAGAAAATGCAGGGGGAAAAACGTTTGCAAAGAAAATGTAGGGGGGGAGGAGAAATCACTTCCCCCCCCCTGCATTTTCTTTGCAAAATGTGGAGGGGAGAAGCTGCTTTTTACTCCTGCACTTTCTTGCAAAGAAAGAAATTCTGATTTAGAAAAGGGGGGGCGTTTTGTACATGGGGGCATCTTATGCACAGAAAAATACTGTAGTATACTAATACAGGAAATGGAGGCTTGCTTAAAAGTATTACAATATTTCATGCTTATAGAAACTTGCTGATTTTTCTGATTCTAATATATTCATTTCTTCCATGCAAACATTCATAGGATTCGTAGTCGTTTAGTCATGTCCGACTCTTCGTTACCCCATGGACCAGAGCACGCCAGGCCCTCCTATCTTCCACTGCCTCCTGGAGTTGTGTCAATTTCATGTTGGTTGCTTTGCAGACACTGTCCAGCCATCTCATCCTCTGTCGTCCCCTTCTCCTCTTGCCATCACTTCATAGGATTACAGTCTTTGAAAGCTATCCAGATGAAAATAAGTCGAGTCTTCATTACTTTTACCGTTCAATGAGTTTCTGGGGCAGTTTAAGGGGGGGAAATAAAATTAGAGTAAATGCAAAATAAAACAGCAACATGAAAACAGACCAAATTGCTAACATGCGCTGGATTATGGAGAAAGCCAGAGAGTTCCAGAAAAATATCTACTTCTGCTTCATTGACTATGCGAAAGCCTTTGACTGTGTGGACCACAGCAAACTATGGCAAGTTCTTAAAGAAATGGGAGTGCCTGACCACTTTATCTGTCTCCTGAGAAACCTATATGTGGGACAGGAAGCAACAGTTAGAACTGGTCATGGAACAACTGAGTGGTTCAAAATTGGGAAAGGAGTACGGCAAGGCTGTATATTCTCCCCCAGCTTATTTAACTTATATGCAGAATACACCATGCGGAAGGCTGGACTGGAAGAAACCCAAACCGGAATTAAGATTGCCGGAAGAAATATCAACAACCTACGATATGCAGATGATACCACTCTGATGGCAGAAAGTGAGGAGGAATTAAAGAACCTTGTAATGAGAGTGAAAGAGGAGAGTGCAAAAAACGGTCTGAAACTCAACATCAAAAAAACTAAGATCATGGCCACTGGTCCCATCACCTCCTGGGAAATAGAAGGGGAAGATATGGAGGCAGTGTCAAATTTTATCTTCCTGGGCTCCATGATCACTGCAGATGGAGACAGCAGCCCTGAAATTAAAAGACGCCTTCTTCTTGGGAGGAAAGCGATGACAAATCTGGACAGCATCTTGAAAAGCAGAGACATCACCTTGCCAACAAAAGTCCGAATAGTCAAAGCTATGGTTTTTCCTGTCATGATGTATGGAAGTGAGAGCTGGACCATAAAGAAAGCAGACCGCCAAAGAATGGATGCCTTTGAGTTGTGGTGCTGGAGGAGGCTCTTGAGAATCCCCTGGACTGCAAAGAGAACAAACCTATCAATTCTAAAGGAAATCAACCCTGAATGCTCACTTGAAGAACAAATCCTGAAGCTGAGGCTCCAGTACTTTGGCCATCTAATGAGAAGAAAAGACTCCCTGGAAAAGACCCTGATGTTGGGAAAATGTGAAGGCAAGAGGAGAAGGGGACGACCGAGGATGAGATGGCGGGACAGTGTCTGCGAAGCAACCAACATGAACCTGACACAACGCCGGGAGGCAGGATTTCTTGAATCTTCTGGAAGAGATTTCTTGGTTTCCCCCTTTTGTTGTTTCTCTTCTATTTCTTTGCACTGGTTATTGTAATAATGTTCTTTGTCTCTATGTGATAGTCATTTAAAAGCTGTTTTGAGGGTTCTGATCCAGTTTTTGTATTTTACTTTGCTTCTCACCTGATAATTTTAAGTTTCTCCTTTGTCATCTATCTAGGCTTTTATTTCCTTTTTAACAGCAAGAATTGCATTTTGTACATTTCCCTAATAATATCTCTGTCAATCCACAGTTCTTCTAGTTCACAGTCAGTTGAGATTAGTAATGTAGATCTAAATTCATGTATAAAAAAGCCTACATGAAGTTCAACTTATCAGGTTGTTCCCTACATAGGAGCGATCCTGGACTCCCAGCATGCCTGCACCTTTCTACTAGAGGAGATGGTAGAGAAACTTCATGCACCCTTGCACCATTTCCAGCCTTGGGCCATTGTCACAGCCCACCAAGCTTAACGCTTTCTTTGACTTATGGCTTCCACAACTCTGGTCATCCAGCAAGCCTGACTAAAAGTGAAGTACCTGCATGGTATCTAACTCAGTTCAACCCACTTGTCAACCCCCCTTCCATACCCCTCAGTAACTGAGGAACTGCCAGCGCAACTCATATGGTAGAACACCACATACGATTTGCTCATCAGCAGGCCCTTCAGAGCATTTCTACCCTAAGTACAGGTCACTACAGCTGCCAGCCCCACCAGCTGGCTGGCACACTGCAATAACCTCAAAATCCACAACCTCTGATCTCCTACCAAACACTAGCTCCATATCAACTATCTAGAGCTGCTTGCCATCATCAACGCCTTCTGGGCATTCAAAACTCTTCTGGTGGGACAAGATGTACAGGTCACGAAAAACAACACCACAGCATTATTCTCCATCAACAAGCAAGGAGGCACTCCCTCCCTTTCTCTCATTTCTCTCGCCATCCAGTTGTGGGGGTGGGTATATGAATGCCATATATACCCAATGGCTGTCCACATTTCCACAGAGGCCAAAGCCCTAGCTGACACCTTGAGCAGGCTCCACGCTTGAAACCACAAGTGGTTCCTCGATGCCTCAGTGTTTTTCCACCTCTGCCGACACTGTGGCACCCCAGTGGTTAGATCTCTTTGTACTCTTTCAAGTAGACTACCTTATCCAAATGTGCACACTCACATGACTTTCTTACCACTCTAGCAATGCTAAATGCTGTCCTGGTATTCCTACTCCACTTATTCAAGCGAGGCCTATCTCTCGCTACTCTCATGTGTCCACAATAATAGCACTCCAGACTCGGCCTCTGTCTCGCTCTTCCACCGTCCCACTCTCAAACAGTTCTCAAGGTACTCTTGAATATCCAACCAGAATTCCAACCACCACCACCTTCAATGGTTCTTGCAACTTGTCTTGCATCACTTCACACTTCCCCCCCCTTTGAGCCTCTAGCTACTACTTCTTAAAGACTCCTATCTCTCAAGCTCATGTTC